CTCCTCATGCTGCCAGCAGTCTAGTTGCCAGCCCTCATGCTGCACCTCCTCACCCTGTTCTGTGACTCTTTGCTGCAAGCCTGTCTGCTGCAAACCCATCTGCTCCGGGTCCTCCTCATGCTGCCAGCAGTCTAGCTGCCAGCCTTCATGCTGTCAATCTTCCTGCTGTGTGCCTGTCTGCTGCAAGCCTGTCTGCTGCACACCCATCTGCTCCGGGTCCTCCTCATGCTGCCAGCAGTCTAGCTGCCAGCCCTCATGCTGCCAGCCATCCTGCTGTGTGCCTGTGTGCTGCAAGCCTGTCTGCTGCAAGCCCTGCTCCAGCGTGTCCCTGCTCTGCCGCCCTGTGTGCAGACCCGCCTGCTGTGTGCCCACCTCCTCCTGCTGTGCCTCCTCCTGCCAGCCCAGCTGCTGCAAGCCCTGCTCCAGCGTGTCCCTGCTCTGCCGCCCTGCCTGCTCCAGCCAGGCCTGCTGTGGCCTCTCCTCAGCCCAGAAGTGCAGTTGCTGATAGACTGGGTCTCTCAGCTTTACAGGCTACATCTTTATTCTTAAGCGATTCTCCACTCTCGGGAACCCCTGAAAGCTCCTTGGGGCCACCAGAGTCATCTCACTATGGATTGGAGGCTACACAGAAGCTGCCCAATGGGGTCTGAAGGTGCCACCTGGCTCCTCCCCCTACAAATGCCTCTGCGACACAGAGAGCAGTCCCAGGAGCCTGTTCTCTTGACCATGCACTCACAACAGAGCTGACAGGTTCACTGCTGTGTTCAATAAAGTGTTCGTATCAATCAGGAGCTGTGGGTTGGCTGTGTGCATTTTCTAGAATGCCCTGGGTCTTCATATCCAGTTTACCATGGCCCTGGGTGCCTTGCTTGGTATTACTTGGTTATTCAACTACTCCAAAGAGAATGACCATCCCCCGGGCATGGGGAGGAAGACCTCATGGATGCACTGCTCATCTTTCTAGTGCATGACAAAATGCCAGAGGGAATCAGTATAGAGAGAGGAAAGGTTGGCTTGGGCTCACCGTTTCATCTGTGATCTGTCGTTGTGATCTGTCATTGCTTCGGGGCCTGTGGCAAGGCATGTGAGAAGGGGAAGCAAGTAAAAGAGGAGGGAGCCTGTGTCCTGCCTTCTTCAAGGCACATCCCCAATGACCCAACATTCGCTACTAGCCCCATTTCTTTTTTTTTTTTTTTCTTTTTTTCTTTTTTTTTTTTTTTTTTTTTTTTTTTTTTTTTTTTTGGTTTTTCCAGGCAGGATTTCTCTGTATTGTTTTGGAAGCTGTCCTGGAACTCGCTCTGTAGACCAGGCTGACCTCAAACTCACAGAGATCTGCCTGCCTCTGCCTCCTGAGTGCTGGGATTAAAGGCGTGCGCCACCAACGCCCAGCTACTAGCCGCATTTCTAAAGAGTATGCGGGCTCCCAGTGACACCACAGGCTGGGAACCATACCCACGTCTTTAGCACACAACCCTTGAAGGCATTCCATCTCAAATAGTTATTCCCTATCTCTCTCTCTCTCTCTCTCTCTCTCTCTCTCTCTGTCCTCCTCCTCCTCCTCCTCCTCCTCCTCCTCCTCCTGCTCCTCCTCCTCCTCCTTCTCTACCTCCTCCTCTTCTTCCCCTCCCCTCCCCCTCCCTGAGACAGGGTAGCTCTGGTTGTCCTGGAGCTTTCTCTGTAGGCCAGGCTGGCCTCTTGTCATAGTGTCTCCTTAAGGGATGGGGTGGAAAGGTCTAGAGAGACTCCTGGAGTGTGGTCTATGCCCCATTGGCTCCTGCTGCATGCCCCCTCCCCACACTGGCAGCACAATTTTGGGAGATAGTAAATCATTAGTAGATGAGACTAGCTGGGAGATGGGCTGCCTCTGAAGGCAGCACCTGGCTCATGAGAAAGACTTCTGTGAGAACTCAGGGTCCTGTATCCACACAGACCTGCCTAGTGAAGTTTTCCAGGTGCTTCCGGGAGGTCACAGAGCTGTAGTCCCAGGGGCCAGGCAGCCACCCCAGCTGGCAGCAACCTTGGTTTTGCAGGTATTCAGAATACAAAGGTCACAGTGGCCACACCTTCCATCCCCAGCAGTCAGGTGGTGACTTTGAGGCCATCCGGAGTTACACAGTGAGACCCTGTCCCCATGTCATGGAGGTTTCCACCCACATTTCAAAGGAAAACCTGAGAGGCCAGGAAGTGTGTGGTGATCAGGGTCACGTTGGACAGCCCCTGAAAAAGCGTGAAGTTGTGAGAGTAAAAATCAAAGCGGCAAGGAGGACCCTGGGTAGCTGGAGATGCCAAAAAAAAAACGTGCAACTCCTGCTGAGGACAAGCCACAGGCTGTATGGGCCACCAATCACATGCTTGTAATACACAGAGTATGTCACAGAAGTGCCTGGTGACCATCTGCCACAGATGAGTTGCAATGTCTGTCCTGTCCATACAACTCCTGGTTTCCAGTGTGCCAACAACCTGCTACCCGACACCGGCAGACATCAGAGCTGTCTGGCAGCTGTCCCCTCACCTTACCCCTGCGCAGCCTCAGAAAGACACTTGACCTTGAATGCCAGCCTCCTGAACAAGAGACAGTGGCTTTCTGTTGCTCTAAGTGACCCCACAGCCAGCCCAGCTCCAATCTCACCCCGGTCTTCTAGTCTCCTACCTACCCCAGGGTTAGCTAGTTGTAGCCAGAAACCAGGAACACCAGGCCAAGGTAGACGAGTGTGCTTCAGGCTACAGAAGGACCAAGGACTTGGTGGCTTCCAACATTGCAGACTTCCAACAGCACAGCTGAGGAGGCTGCCCACCTGGATAAGCTCTTCCTAGTTAAGTGCGGGCACCGGCAAGGTCTCACCTGGAGGCTCCAGGAGAGAGTGGTTCCGGGACCTCTTCAGCTTCAATTCCCCCGTAACCCTGTTGTTCAGAGCCAGCCCCTCAGTGTCCTGCCACCTTCTCCAGCCACCTTCCTGCCTCCCTCAGATGCTATCCCTGTGGTGGCACTGGGTCTCTGCAAACCCCATGATAACTGCCCCTCTGTGAAGCCTCCCTGCCCTGTGAGAACACAGACATAGATTGTAGGAGCAGCTATCACTCTGCCCTGAGTGAAGGCTTTCTTCATTCATCTTTACCAAGAGGAGGAGGGGTTGGAGTGGTGGGCGTTCAAGCTAAATTCTTGGACTGAAGGGGCTTCAGGGCTCCTGTTTGCTGCTAAGTAGAGACCAAAAATTACCTTCAGGGACCCAAGATACCAACACACACACACAGACACACACAGACACACACACACACACACACACACACATCTCACCAAAGCAGCAGTGGGAACCAAGTAGGGCAAATAAGAGCCACTGGGACACAACAGCCCCGCGTAAGGTAGGACACTGAAGCGAGGTGACCCTCAGGGGTGGTCGCCCTGCTGCTGGCCTGGGCCCTGAGCCCCTCCGTGTTGAAGCTTTAAGGTTCTCAGGGACAGCCCTGAGCAGTGTGGAAGACTGACGTAAAGTCCAGCACAGACTCGGGATGCCTACTACTGAGGCTCACGTTTTTGCTGCTAGCGGTCAAGGCTGAAGGATGCGGGGCAATCGTCCGCTTCACTTGCTGCCCTCGAGGCCAGGTGGCTTTGTTGCTGTGTCTTTGCTATTGTGGGGGGCGGGGGGGGCTGCATGCAGCTGTCAGGGTCAGCATGGTGGAAAAGTAGTCACGCAGCTGTTCTCACCTCTGAGCTGGAGTGGCTACAGAGGTCATAGGAGCAGGAGCAGTCTGCAGGGCTTCAGGGGAGGAGGGCTGGCAGCATCTGAGGTCTAGCAGGTCACAGGGACACACAAAGGGTCTGCAGGTCACGGGGACACACATCAGGCTGTCTGATGGGGGACAGACACACTAAAGGCCTGTCAGAAAGGAGCACACTGCATGTAGGCCTGCATATCAGGGCCACACGGGGCCTAGGAGACAGCAACAGCTTCTACAGCCCTGGGGTTGGCAACAGCTGTGGGGATACAGTACAAGGAAACAGGGCAGGAAGCCCCTCGTTCCAACTGCCGGACAGCTCCCCAGGCTCTCTGAGATCACAAACGAACCCCTTGTATCAGTCACCACACAGTGGGGTTAGGGTGGGGGTTAGTATTGTCCACCAAACAGGATCTAGAATCATGACGAGCCTCTGAGCATGCCTGTGAAGTTTGTCTGGACTACATTAATTGATCCGGAAGACCAGTCCACAGTTGGAGGCGCCATTCCCTAAGTTATATATGTGGAGAAGATAACTGGGTATCAGCAGCATTCATCCTCTCTGCTTTCTCAGACCAGCTGCCTCCTGCTCCTGTTCACTCGGCTTCCCCAATGTAATGGACTGTACCTTGAATCACGAACCAAAATAAAGCCTTTCTTCATTAAGTTGCTTTGGTCAAGTGTCTTATCACAACAACTGAAGAGAAACCAAGACAGGTGGCTGTGTTAAGGGGCAATGGCAAATGTTTTAAACTGTTTTGTAACCTGTCATCATGGCCTGAACACAATACCTGGTGACACACATGCACACAGGCATGCTGCTGTCAATAAAATTTTATTTACAAAGACAGGAAGTAGGCCAAGTTTTTAGCCTACAGATCCTAGTTGCCCAGCCTCTGTGATAAAGTTTTGCATTTTATGATAGCAAGCCAAAATAAATAATAAAAAACCTTCATTGATAGTATGAGACGAAAAAGAACAGGATCCTAAACTAATCCAGCCAGTGCCGCTATGGGCTCAATAATGGCCCAAGAAACAGCAGCACAAAATGCATGTAAGCCAAACCAGAATATCCTGTTTGTAGATGGAGAAGTTATTTATGGGGAGCATAACTCAGGAAGACGCACCCAAGAATAACAAGTCACTGAGGAACAAGTGATAGAAACATCAGGCAGAAGACCAGCTGCATTATGGGTATTTGGGACATACGGCTGGGTATAAAAGTCACCCCAGGAAGGGACAACAGACACTCCCACCATCCTCCAGACCAGCCAGCACCTGCCATCATGTGTCAAACCAGTTGCTCTTCAGGCTGCCAGCCAGCCTACTGTATGTCCAGCCCTTGCCAGCCAGCCTGCTGTATGTCCAGCCCTTGCCAGCCAGCCTGTGTGCCCTTGAGCTGCAGGCCCGCCATATGTGTTCCTGTGAGATGCCAGGTGACCTGCTGTGTGCCCGTGAACTGCAGACCCACTGTGTGCATGGCTCCCTCCTGCCAATCCTCTGTGTGTGTGCCAGTGAGCTGCCGGCCTGTCTGTGTGACCTCCTCCTGTCAGTCATCCGGGTGCTGCCAGCCCTCCTGCCCCACCCTGGTCTGCAGACCTGTCACCTGTAACACCTCTTCCTGCTGCTGATCAGTGTCCCAAATCACCTGCTGCCACTTGAGATGCATCTGTCCCTTCCCAATGCCTGCCATCTGTGAGGCAGGTGGGAAGCGTGTCCAGCCTGCCCTGGAACTGTGGAGAGAATGTATAGAAGAATCCAGTTTCTCCCTGGCCCAGCCCAACCCCCGGGGGATGTCCTGACTCCTAGTGTCCCTCTAGCAACGTGAGCCAAATAAACTGCTTTCCCATACAGCTGGTGCTCTCTTTCATCCACACATACTTTTCAGGTTCTTACTCTGTAGCATTGGCTGTCCTGGAACTCACTATGCACACCAGGCTGACCTTGAACTCACAAAGATCTGCCTGCCTTTGCCTCCCAAGTGTCTATATACTTTTTAGCAAAAGATTTACTTTTATGTGTATAGGTGTTTTGCCTACATACATGTCTGTTCACCACATGAATGTATTGCCCGTGGAAGCCAAAAGAAGGTTCTGATGTAGGATGAAAAAGGCCAAGGAAAAACACCCTGCCCTGGGCCAAGGAAAAATACCCTGACTCTGACTCAATCTCAGGACCAGGTCTTGAAATCCCACCAATCCCTTAATTTGCCCTAGAATCAGGCTGCATAATCCCACCACTCCTTGAGCTTTGTCAAAAAGCAGAGCAAACCAACCAAAAAAAATCAAACACAAAAGGGACACATGTGAGGAGCTAGGACACACTAACTCTAAAAGTATCTCTCAGGAGTGTGTTGAGAAATTACTTGTATGTGAACAGATGAGGATTTAAAACTAAGACAGAGTCAAATGGATACAGTCAAAGACAAAATACATCAGGAAGGATGAGTTCCTTTGTATGCTCAAGGATATACTTGATGTAGTCAAAGGTGGGGCCGCTGGATGGGAAGATAGGTCAAACAGAAGTAGACAAAAATGAAAATACAAAGAGAAAGCTGGTTAGGGCAGGAAGAAACATAAACAAAACACCGAGGCACGCTGGGATGCTGGATCATCTTCTGTGGATGAAAGTGTATAATTAGCATGTCCAGAAGGAACGAGACCATTCTAAGAGATACTCGTTCATGTCTCACTCTAGTTATTTGGGCCTTGGAAACAAGATGCCCGAGGGAACTGGAATTCTCTGGGAATCTCTCGCTAGGAAATAAAAGGCTAAGGCTTAGCACCAGTCACATGGGAACTCGTCTCCCAGGGAGAGAACTCATGCAGACAACTTGTCACCCCATCTTCTGAGACAGGCTCTCAGCTGAGATAACGACAAGGTACCACAATGGGCGGTACTGCTTAATTATATACACCTCTTGTCGTGTATCTAAACCTTACCCTCATGCCAGGACCTGGAAGATGGACTTGGGGGAGTCATTGGATCTCTGTCTTTCTTTCCAATGTGGCCACACTGAATCAGTCTCCTTTTTTTCTGATTTTTACTATTACTTGTTAGTTTCATTGGCTCACCAAGGATGGACAGCCACGTATTATTACTGGAACTACCAGGGCCAGGCTCTGACCAATAATGACCCTGATAATAAGTAGTGTCACATAAAGGAAGAGAAGAGGGAGAAAGGAAGAGAGGGAGGGGGATGAGGAGACGGAGGAGAGGAAATGGTGGGGAGGAGGGAGGCGTCACAGGAAGGGAGGAAAGCAGAGGGACAAGAAGGGGAGGGAAACAGGAGGTGAGGTGGGAGGGGAGGGGAGGGGGAGGAAGGAGAGGACAGGGGTGGAGAGGACCAAAGAGAGGAGGAGAAACTAGAGAGAAGAAACAGACAAAGGAGTAACAGCTAAGAAAGGACCACAAATAAAAATACATAAGACACAGAGATTCCCCTCTCATGTAACTATTCCTATGAGATGTGAATGTCTACTTGCCTTGACCCTGATGACAACCCAAAGAAATTATTTCCCAGTCCAGCTTGGTGAACCAGTGAGTTTACTGGGCTTACCTGAAGGAGCATGGGCAACCAATGGGCAGCTATACTACTGAAGAGTCTACTCTTGGCAATAGTTAACTGCCTACATAGCCTCAGAGAGGGGAGGAGTCTCCTGTGCCATCCTGTGAGTCCTCACATGTCCATGGGGGACATTAACAGACCTAAGAGTGTAAGGGTCTCATGCAGGTAATCATGGTGGCTCTGGTTCCAAGATGGCAACCGTGTGTCATCCTTAGGGGGCAGCACACCACAACACCCCAAATAGGATGCATCTTCCTCAGCACCCCAAATAGGATGTATCTTCCACGATACCCCCAAAATAGGATGTATCTTCCTCAAACCAAAAATTAAAACATGGCTACATACACCTTGTTTAACACGCGACTGCCAAAAACCAAAAGTAAAGAGGAATCTGTGGACACACAGATTAAACTACATGCTATGAACATGGAGGCAAAGGCAAGGGTTACACCAGACATCGCATGAGAATCACACGCCTAACTGCTGAGAAGCCACCCCAGCCTGTGAAACGGGAGGTGTCCTTCTAAAGTGAAAGGATAGAGGCTGCCGCTTCACTGACAGCAGACACGCACCATCAGGAAAGGCTTAGGCCAAGGATGCTACAAGGAGAGAAACTGGGACCCACTGGAGGGAGCTGTGGAGAGCACACAGTGGAGTTAAGGACCCTGGAGAGAAGGTGCTCAAAGTCATCAGGGGCACACTGCCCAGAGGATGCAGACAGAGCTGGCAGAAGCAGGAGCAGGAGGAGCAGACAGAATTTCTGGAGTGACACACGGTCACCAGAACACAGAATGTGCTCCCAGATGCTCCCACTTCCTTAAGCAGAGAGAAGAGGCCTCTGCAGGGACAGATCCACCAAAGGAAACTCAGCAGACATCTGTTGAGATATGGCGAGAATAACACTCGGGAGGATTTCGGGAGGATTTCGGGAATGGAGGCTTCAGAAGCAAGCAACAGGCGGGTAAGTAAGTTAGAGCCCTGGACAAACACAGCAGGTAAGAGAAGCATACTGATCTTCTCCACAAGAACAGAGACGCATCAGGCCAGGCCACACAAAGGCTCCAGCTAAAATCTGACAGCTCATCAGGAGAAATGAATGTCCATGAGATTATGACCCAAGGGAGAAAATGAAAATTAGGAAAAAAATGGCATCAATGCAAATGCAAATGGAAAGGGTTTACAGGAAATATAGAAGGCTGGCAAGGCTGGCAAGACGGCTTATGGAAGGAAAGAGCTTGCCACCAAGCCTGACAACCTGAGCTCAATCCCTAGGACTCAGATGGTAGAAAAGAACTAATTCCTGCAAATTGTCCTCTGACCTATATACATGTGCCATAGCATGTACACACATGTACACACACATGTGCACAGGCACAAACACACACATACTAAATGTAATTTTTGAAGGGATTATAGAAAGGCAGAGCAAAGGAAATCAGAAGTAAATTCAAATACACTACAATTACAATAAACATAAATAGATAAGACTATCCAACAAAAGACAGAAATTATCTATTTGCTTCAAATCCTGCTTTATGTATCATCAGACTAATTTTTGCCTTTTTCCTGTTTTGTAATAACGTTTTTATTGGCTCCTTGTCCACAGTTTCTCCTGCACTGGTTGGTGCTCCTATAACAGAGCTGAGTAACTTGTGACAGAGTCCAAGACCTTAATATATTTACTTCATGGACATTTGTAGGACAGTTTGTCAAGTCTTGGCTCTAAAGTATAAAGAATAGAAGTGTTGAAAGTAAAATATTAGGGAAAATACACCCAGCAAATCCTAACAAAAAGCTCCCACAAAACTCAGTAAGATAAAATATTCAGAAAGGTAAAAGGCATTATTTCTAATAAAGAACTCAGGGCAGGATGCTGGCCAGACTCATGGGGCTGCTTCTGAGAACAGGAGCACCTTAAACCCTGGGAAAACGTCTGAACCCAATTCAACCCTAGCAGAAGACTCAGATGTGACAGTCCTCAGCCACTGGGTACCACAGAGTTAAGCCTCAAAACTGCAAAGTCCGTTGATCCCCAGGGCCACAGGTACCAAGACACAGGGAGGGTCGACTGGATGACTCTGTTCTGATACGGATTCCAGACACTCCGGCCACATTGAGCTTTAACCGTATGTGAGGTAACGCTGAATGTTCTCAAGGAGTTTTTATGCTTTCATTTTTATTTCTCTGCTTACGTGAATCTAGCTTTCCGTATCATTTCTTTATCATGTAATTAGATTTTTCTTCTGCCATTTTCTCTCTCTCATCCTAATATTCTTCTCCTTTCTTTCCCTTCACTTATTTAACCTTATCAAATCTTTCTTCCCCTTTCCTTGCACTGCTATTTCTAAAATTCCATTTATTTTTTACTACTTTCACCTTAGCCCCTTTTAGCTTAATAGCTAATTCTACATTATTTTGGCCATTTTCTTCCTTGTGGTCACTGGTGATTTAGACACTGGCTCCTGTCACAGACTGAGGTGTCCCGGGCTCGGCTGGTGGTCCCTATGCTAATTCCCCTGTCTTTACAAACCTTCACGCCAACTGCGCCTGGTCAGTTAGAACCCTGATGAGGTCCGGGAGGGCTCCTGTGTCGTGTGCATGCACATGGCCCCGAGCTGTGCCCACCTGAGGGCAGAACACGAGTTGTCTGGGCGAAGAACTAGGCACGCCGGGGGAGATACAGCCCCTGGGGTGAATGCTGAGCTGGAAAGGGACTCTGCCGAAACAAGGCCTCGGGGCCCTTCCGAGACCCAGCGCACAAACCACAACCTCCATGTTGCTAGGACAGGGCACAAGAAACCTCAGGGCAGGGCTGGCACTATTGGGAGAGCAAGGCACAGGAGCCACGTACACACAGAGCCACGGCTGCTACACGGGGCCTCTGAGGGCCGCCGAGTGAGTGACATTCTCAGACCCTGTCTGAATGGGACAATACAGTGATTGTCACGCAGGAGAGGGGGAGGGGGGCTTCATCCACCTGGCCTGGACAGCCCCACCCCTGGCTGCCGCCCTCACCTGTGGCCAACCCCACCATAGGGCAGCCACCGTGGCTATCTAGGTGAC